TTAACAACCCTGCATAACTAGGTATCCACTTCAGGAGACTCTATCGAAAGGAAACACAACGGCGTTGGTTCACCACATGGAGTTATAAATATTAAATAAGTCAATTATCTTGCAACAAGAGAAAGACATAGAGTATATAATGTATATCGATATTTATAGAACTAATCACTCTTTTTTAGGGGAACAAGGAGCATTGAATATGGTACCATTGTTTCTGATTGACAAGAAGATTCCTGCTTCTTGGGTAGGGTTCTGGACCGGAATGGTGGGTCAAGGTGTATCTATCTTTGGATCTGTATTAGGGGGATGGGCAATTTCTCATCTTGGGTAAGTTTGTAAGTTATTTTGCACACTAATTTTTTCAAAATGTTTTGTAAGCCACATTGCTCAATAAGTGAGAAAATAACAATGGTGCAACAAGAAACCATAAATTGATCTTGTGTCTACCAGAAAGCAGTCTTTGCTCCATTGACCATGGTGACAGTTGCTGCCATTACTGCTAAAATCTGTTGAACAATAACCAGTGAAAAGGCATCATAAGTAAATGTTTCTTTTCTATCCCTAAGACATTATCATAACCCTTCACTACTTGTAAATTATCTAAGACCTTTACATTATTGAATACAATGTTACAACGTTCAAATCATTCATACATCTGTTACATGTACCGGTACACAAAATATATGTCAGTAGATTTTTTTTTTGTTTTGTTTTTTTTTTATGAAATATCAATAAAAAAATGAAATTAAAATAGAAATAAAAAGGAAAAAGATGCTCAAGTGACATAATCATAACAAATAAAAAAAAAATAAAAAAAAAATATGAAAGCAGATTAACTGAACAAATACTTCTAACTATTTCATGAATCACTGAATGGTCTGTGGACAATGAACTCAACCTTACACCTAAAGTGACCTTAGTGAAATTATAATGAAAACTTCATGAAGCCATTAATTACCATACAGTATTAGTGACCATTCTGACCCTCAATACCAGAGTGGTCTTAGTACATAGATTTGGTTAATATCTTCTGTTTTTAAAAGTCACTTAAACAAATATGATGTCTGCAATTTACTCAGCAAATATTGATGATTTAAATGATTAATAAGATTGGTGCTCAAATAATTAATTGACCACAATGAAAAAATATTTCACTGTATTGGCATACACAGGTGAAATAAAATAAACAAACATTGTGAATAGTCATAATCTTTTTTCCTGTCCATTTTAGATACACTACAGCAAAGACACTGAAGTTAACTTGTATTCTGAGAGTGATCCCACTTTCTCTACAGTTACTTGTAGTATGGACATGGTCAGAAGACATTAGCTCATTCTCTTCTTGTAAGTTCTCAGCTTTCCTAAAACAATAGATGATTATTTTGATATGCCCATCAATGGTGGATTTAATGCTTCTTTTTGAAAATTTAAACTGGGTGTAAAAGCGTTTATAGCATTCTGCATTTCATACCAAAAAGTTGAGCAAGATCTATGCTTTTACAACATAATATCAAGTTTTTTGTTTGTTTTCCTATGCATTCCTATGGGCTATTTCACATCTTGGGTAAGTGATGTTGTCAAGGAAACCGTGGTCATGAATGTTGCATTTCATTGAGAGATAAAATGTAATTTTGGAATACCTCGAGATTGTTGTCAGCCAATGAAAAGTATGTATTCTTATGAAACATTATATGTAAAGTAATTATTATGGTATAACATTTCTGTTTATCCACTCCACTACATCTTGAAATATCACGTTGGTGATTATGTTTAAATGCAATGTTTTGTTCTTCACCCTTTCGATTATTGACAACTTTTATGTTCTTCATCAAGAGTTATGTGTATCTAACTGTTAAAAACTCAAAAGGGCTTTAATCTCCCCACCCCTGGAAAAAAGATGCAAGTTAGAATAAAATGCTCCGCTGGGTGCATCTTGATACGACCGCAGAGGTCGAACCCTGAACAGTTGGGGCAAGTATGGACACAACATTCAAGCTTGATACAGCTCTGAATTTGGATTGTGATTAAATATTTGACACAGCATAGGTTTCTGACACAGAATAAATGTGGTCTAAGAACTTAAAAAATTTAATTTACCTATTATGGTCCAATATCCAAAATCTAAATACATACACGGTTAGATTCAGCATATCAAAGAACCCCAAGAATTCAATTTTTGTTAAAATCAAACTAAGTTTAATTTTGGACCCTTTGGACCTTAATGTAGACCAATTTGAAAACGGGACCAAAAATTAAGAATCGAAAAACACGGTTAGATTCAGCATATCAAAGAACCCCAATATTTCAATTTTTGATGAAATCAAACCATATCATTATTATTTGCTTTTATATATAAATCAAAAATAACCAACTTAAAATGGAAAATTTTAAAGAAAAAAAAAAGGAACCCCCCCCTCCAATTTTTTGAACCCCCTTATGATTCATCACCCCCAAACTCAATCCCAGCCTTCCCTTTGTGGTATGGTACCTTGCAGTACAATTTCAGAGAGATCCATACACTTGAACACAAGTTATTGTCTGGTAACTGTAAAAATGCTTATTTTTGGCCCCAAATTCCAAAACGTTTAGGGCAATTACCCCCAAACTCAATTCTAGCTTTCCCTTTGTGATATGGAACCTTGTAGTACAATTTCAGAAAGATCCATACACTTACACACAAGTTATTGTCATGAAACTAGAAAAATGCTTGTTTTTGCCCCTTTTTTGGCCCATAATTCCTCAAATTTTGAGGCAATTACCCCCAAAATCAATCCCAGCATTCCCTTTGTGATATGGAACCTTGTGGTACAATGTCAGAGAGATCCATACACTAACACACAAGTTATTGTCTGGAAGTTACAAAAATGCTTATTTTTGGCCCCTTATTCCTTAACTGTTGGTACCATAACCCCAAAATCAATCCCAACCTTCCTTTTGTGGTATTGAACCTTATGGTAAAATTTCATAGAGATCCATGCACTTAAACTAAAGTTATTGTGCGAAAACCAATGTGTCTTCGGACGACAATAACGACGACAACGCCAACGTCATACCAATATACGGTCGTATAAAAATGAAACAGTAACCAAACAGCACATGTTCATATACATCTATTGGTTATCATACATATACACATTCAACATGGACAAATAACCATATTGTGCAGCAATGTTAAATTTGACTGGTTATTGTTTTGTTGTTAGTGGCTTATTATTATGCACTAGATTATTACATTTTTTGTCATAAATTTTATTTCAGTGCTGTCTGTATTTGCTATGTCAGCCATGTTGTTTATCAGTGGAACTGTTACCACAGCAACATTTACTTTGATGATGCAGTGTTCCCAGAGGGCACCACCTACAGTTCAGTCCACACATTATACAGTGCTAGCAACTCTAGAAGTAATGGGAAAATTGACATTTTCTGTCATGATAGGACCATTAACAGAACTATTAGGATATAACTTTATTTTTGTATTATTTATAATACTGACTTCAATAGTTTTGCTCATGTTTCAAAAGTTTCCATATTTGTCAATTTCTGAAACTATAGTTACAAATAAAAATAGTTAATAACATCTAGTATTCTTAAATTTTAGGTGAAAATATCTTAAAACTTAAAAAGAAATCAAACATATATTTTTAACCCATCCAAGGAGGTTTGATTTTTGTCCTGACATTTATGTTAATTATGAAAATAAGGAGATGTGGTAGGATTGCCAATGAGACAACTAGCCACCAAAGTTCAAATGAGAACAACCCATACCATAAAGTTGGCTATAAAAGGCCCTGACATGAAAAATGTGAAGCAATTCCATTGAGAAAACTAACAGCCTAATTTATAACAAAACCATTTACGAAAAACAAATATGACAGACATGAACCAATGACACCCACTAAATTACAGGCTCCTGACTTGGGACAGGCACATAAAGAATGTGGCAGGGTTAAACATGTTTGTGAGCACTCCCCCCTCTCATATCCTAAGACAGTGGTGTTAAACAGCAAAACATGAGAACAAAATCAGTTGCAATGGGCTCAACTTAAAAGATGGGTATGAGGCACAAAAATATTTAACATTAAAACAATAGACACAAAACACCGCAATAAGAGTACTTGCATTTACTGAAAGCTAGTTCAAAGCCAATTACAACTAATAAACGGGATGTATTATGGTATACAAATGTCCGGTGTCCGTCTGTCTGTCCGTCTGTCTGGCGTAAACATGTCGCACCGTAACTTGAGAATGACTTATCCAAATTTCATGAAACATAACATAGTTGTTTCTTATGATGGTCAAACGATCTGTATACTTTTTGGTGAAAATAAGATTAAAACTTTTTGAGTTACGGGACTTAGTAACTAAAACAGGTGTGTGTTTTTTTTCACAAATTATTATTGCTTAAAATTTTACACACATCTTAGTTATATTAATCTAAAGATCTGTATACTTTTTGGTTTTGATTCAAAATTTTATTTTTGAGATATTGATTTTTTTTTTTAAAAGGGGGGTTTTCACATGTCGCGCTGTATCTCAAAAACGATTTATGATTATTGCTTAAAATTTTACACACTTCTTAATTTATACTTTTTGGTTTTGATTCAAAATTTTATTTTAGAGATATTGAGTTTTTTGTAAAAAAAAAGGGGGTTTTCGCATGTCACGCCGTATGTCAGAAACTATTTATGCTTATTGTATAAAAATTCACACACAAGACGACGGGCGTATCATGTGCTCATGGCACAGCTGTTTATTATACTGTTTGGTACTTCAATAAGACAATATTCTTCACAATACATGTATGCCATTTAATAAATCATCAATCTTCAAAATCTGTAGATACATTGTACATTTAATTTGTAATGATATTTCTGTAAAAATGTATATGAATTGTGAATAATAGTGGCTTAAAAAAGCATACTTCTTAAAAGCATTTTGCACAACTGAAAGATATCTCAAGACAGATTGAGCTGTCATTATAAATAAGAAGAAATCCAATGCTGTTTTACAATAAAATTTATTGATATTCAACAATTAACAAACTTTAAAGGGTGTACAAAGACATTATCAAAAATAAACAATTTGGTGTACAAATTTAAATGTCGCTATCAACATAATAATATATCTAAACAACGGAAGGAATGTTTGGTGTGTTGAAAGACATGGGGGCTAGGTGGACAACACAAACTCTAGGTGGGTGCTTTGTTTAAACGTCATAGATGATGAATACATACAATATTGAATGTGATCTTTATTCATAACTATAATTAATTGATTTATTCATTGGTGTTTTACACCACTTTCAGCACAATTGGAGTAAATCCCCGACTATCCGTAGGAAAACTGACAATCCTCGTCAATTAAGAATGGAGCTGAACACATCTGCTACATGTGGGATTTGAATTCACAACCTAAGTGTTGACAGGCTAGTGTCATAACTTATGAGAATCAAGATGGTCATCATCCTTCACATAAAATTTCTACAGCTGTTTTGAATGGTAAATGGTCTTAAATAAATATTAAGAAAATTTACCATGTGAACCAACAATTGCTGATAATTTAACTATACATTAGAATGTCAATATAAAAGAATTGCATATTATTTTTATAAATCTTGTCCATTACACCAGATACTGGACTTTTGCTTATAAATGACGATCACATCTTACAATTTTCTATCACTTAAAATACCATGGCTACAAAAAGTGTTGTCATGGAGATGGATATGATATAATTACACAATCTAAATATTATTCTATAAATTATAGAATAAATATCTTTCTTAATTATAAAATCTGCTGAGTTTTGGTATCAAAGTTTTAAAAAAACATCACAATAACAATATAAGGCACTAGGCATGCTAGGTAAATAACACTTTTAAACTACAAGCAATAAAAGCAATATTAGTTTTAAACACAATTTCTTAAAATTATTTCCCAACTCATTTGTGAATCAATTAGCCTATATTTTACAACAGAGAAATTGTTTTTTGGTTAATAGAAACCTATAAATTTTATACCATTAAATCTAAAATTAAATAATGTAGGGTGCACATATGGAAGGACAAATGGACAGAAGGAATTTCCACAGGAGTTTTCATTTCCCCCGAGTTATAAGGGATGAAAATTTCCTTAAAGCTAACATATGTCATTATTAGACAGTAAACAGATAGAAAACGTAGAAACAAAATAAATGGAGAATGTGTCCGTGGGACACAGATGATGCCCCCGCTTGCATATAACATTATAAAGGGGCATAACTTGAGAACAGTAAAAGTGACGTCACCCAAATTCGAACTTGATATTTGTTTTGTGGTAATAAGTATTCTGTGTAAGTCTCATAACATTTGGTTGTGGCAAACTAAAGTTAGAGAACGGAAACCAATTTTGGGACATATGTATGGACGTACGGATGGGCATAAAAATAACTACTGAAATCAGATGGATACATAAACATGTGGAGTACATAACTACTGACTGTACATATAACAATGATCATTAAGCGTTATTAAATACATGTAAATAATAATATACATATACATGTATTTGTTAGGATGATCAGCAGGGCCCACATATACAGGTATATACATTTCTACCACTGCATTTTGTGTGATACTATATTTCTCAACTTCAGGCAATCAATTTTTAAATAGAAGGCTTTAGATATTTAAAATGTGTCCAGAGTTGAGATACATCATATCACACAAGATATGGTAGTGGAATTTGTTTCTCTACTGATTTTTTTACAAAATGTTGGCATTCTTTTTAAAGGATCTGCAAAATTATTGTGTTTTTTCTAGTAGACATTGTCATCTTATTCATGGCAAATTGAGACTGGCTAGGGTCTGTCTTGTTCTAACAGTGAGGTGAGAGTATTTGATTCAATGTGACTGAGATAAAGAACAGTAAGAAGAGCTCTGTTCCTTTGCTTATGCTTTTTTTTTTCTTCATGCGCATGTAGAGTGATTTTGTGTCATGAATTGGTATGCCATATCCTTTCTTTTACATTTAACTACATGAATTAAAAAAAAAAATCAAACCAGTCAGGGACAGCATAAATAGGGTTAGAATTAGAATAAAATAGTATTCAAAGAATTTATCAATTTATCATTTGACTGAATATTAATACAACCAGAAAATCCAGAAAAACTGGCTTTCAATATATAATAAAACTTTCATAACATTGCATTTATATAACACTTGATAACATACAACAATATAACAAATCATCCAGTTTTGACTAGCAAGGAACATGTATAACCAAAGGTAACAAAGATCAACAACAATCAAACAAATGTTGTGCCTTGTTATTGTTAGTAAACCATATACTTTAAAACCCATAGCCAATAGGATGATTTATCACATATTTGTTACGAAAACATTGGGTTTTGCATATGCAATAACCACAGATTTGCCCTAGTCATATTCCTGCCCAGGACATTAACTGGTTATTGTGCCCTGTAATGATGTCATAAACATTCATTATAACAATGACGGATGAGGAACGTCGTTTAAAAAATACAGCAGCATTATATCTGTTGAGGACAAAAATGTATGATCTTTCCGGACGGAGTAATAAAAATTTTTCTACTCTTTTAAGCATTTAAAATAATGTTACATATCATGAAATCTTTCATGGTTTGCTTCTGATGAAAAAGCATTTAACTCTCTATCATTTATCTGGGTATACACTCCCTTTATAAATGTTTAAAAATTTATTTCTAATTATTATTAAAAAGAATAATTAAGGTATATATTTAAATTTAGTATAAGAAAATCTTTTTGAAAGGCACTTCAAAATGAAATGGGTAAAAGAGACTACCCTTGTTTTACAAATTTCACATTGAATGATAAAATGAAGATTACATTTTATTCAGGTTTATTTTAATTCAAAAACATATTTAGATTAGTGGTAGTTAAATGTATTTCCACAAACCTATTTGTGAACTACATGTAGCTATTAACTCTGATAGGAATACGGGTCATATCATTAATCTTCATTCAAAAATTTTAAAAGGGCTCTCAATAATAAAGTGCATTGTATGTTTCATTCCAAAAGTTTTATACAAATTATCTCCCTTTTGAACATAAACATAATTTTTAAAACATTTTACCTATTTCATTTTTCAAAAATCATTTCTAAGTCCTGACTCTCAGAATTTTTGTGCAATTTCTCAATACTTTTTAAAAATATTTTTTCCTGAGCCACAGAAATTAATTGAAAAAAGGCAATACATAATTCTATTGACTGAGATAGAGTACTTCCAAGAATTACAACTCTTGTAGTACTAATCAAAGAGGGGTGATTTTGAAGTGTTATTATTGTAGAGAATCACACTATATAAATCTTGCAAGGTAGTCTGTAGACTAAAATTAACATTGTGATATAATTACAACCATTAAAAAAAAATTAACAGCAGCTTTACTCAATCAAACTTCTTCATTTATGTCATGATACGACTAAAAAACCTGTAGATATGGATGACATGATTTTGGGATGTGGGATAAAGGGGATAAAATATGTGGAAATGTGGGATATAGGAGGTAATAAATGTGGATAGTGTCCACACGTGGACACAGATGATGCCCCCGCTTGCATATCATATAGTTATAAAGGGACATAACTGAAGAACATTAAAAGTGACGCTACCCAAATTTGAACTTGATCTGAGTTTTGTGGTAATAAGCATTGTGTGTAAGTCTCATAACATTTGGTTGAGGCTAACTTAAGTAGAGAAAAGAAACTAAAAATTCAGCAATTTTTCTATTTGTAAACATGCATAACTCTAGAACGGTTGTGTATAAGTTTTACAACATTTAGTTGAGACAAACTAAAAAATTCAGCAATTTTTATGTTTATAAAGGGACATAACTCAAGAATGGTAAAAGTGTTGCCACTTAATTTCGTACTTAATCTGTATTATGTAGTAATAAGCATTGTGTATAAGTTTCATAACATTTGGTTGAGGCAAACTCAAGTTAGAGAACGGAAACAAAAAAATTGTACTTGATCTTAACTGAATTTTGTGGTAATGAATATTGTGTATAGGTTTCATAATGTTTGGCTGGGGATAACTTCAGTTACAGAATGGAAACTAAAAATTTTGCAATCTTTCAATTTATAAAGGGGCATAACTCAATAATGGTTAAAGTGACACTACCCAAATTCAACTTGATCTGTGTTTTATCAGTGGAAGTCAAAATTAAACATTGCATTGTATAAAGCATTGTTTGTAGTTGATTCAACTATAATCATGGTCAAAGGAAGATAACTCCAATTTTAAAATATATTATAAACTTGATATTTAGAAGAAAATAAATATTTTGCAATTTTTCTATTTATAAAGAGACATAACTCTAGAACAGTTAAAGTGATGCCACCAAAATTCAAACTTGATCTGTGTTTTGTGGTAATAAGCATTGTGAATCAGTTTCATAACATTTGGTTGAGGCAATCTTAAGTTAGAGAACGGAAACTAAAAATTTTCCAATTTTTCCTTTTATAAAGGGGCATAACTCTAGATCGGTTAAAGTGACGCCACCAAAATTCAAACTTGATCTGTGTTTTGTGGTAATGAGCATTGTGTATAAGTTTCATAACAATTGGTTGAGGCAAACTTAAGTTAGAGAACGGAAACCAATTTCGGGACGTACGGACGGACGTAGGTACGTACGTACGTACGTACGTATAGACGGACAAGGGTAAAACTTAATGCCCCCTCCGCTACGGCGGGGGCATAAAAAAAATAGGAATGTGGGATATAGGGAGTAACAAGAATGTGTCCATAAGACGGTTGCCCAACTCGCACTATCATTTTCTTTGTTCAGTGGACTGTGAAATTGGGGTCAAAACTCTAATTTGGCATTAAAATTAGAAAGATCATATCATAGAGAACATGTGTACAGAGTTTCAAGTTGATTGGACTTCAACTTCATCAAAAACTACCTTGACCAAAAACTTTAACCTGAAGCGGGACAGACGGACGGATGCACAGACAGAAAAACATAATGCCCCTAGGTGGGGCATAAAAATAAGTGGGATGTGGGAAATAGGAGGTAAAAATAAGTAGAGATGTGGGATATAGGGGTAAAAAAGGTGGGGATGTGGGATATAGTTGAAAATAAGTAGAATCTGGGGAAAAAGTGGGAAGTGGGAAATAATTACAAAAAAACCAGGTTTGGGGAAATGAGCATCCCTGTGTCATCCTCCTCACTGTAAAACTTGATATAAAAGTAAGAAATGTAAATAATAAAAAATATTATAAATTAAGAGAACTTGATAATAATCCATGAGGCATAGATTTAGATGATCGTATAGAATGTAGTGAGACTTGACTTCTAGCCATGTGTCTATCATCATCTGTATCTATTCTGTGTGTATCAGGTTCTATAGCTGAGGTCGATAGTGGCTGATCTGTGATGAAGTTATATAGAAGCTGGTTAAACTTGCCAGGAGCTTCCATCATAACCATATGTCCTGCATCTTCTACAACCTCTAAGTGAGAGTCGTAAATTGTCTGAAATAAAATTGAAAAAAAAATCATTATTATTTATTGAAATTTTCAACATGGAAAAAAGATGTTTCGATAGTTTTGATGAACATGTGTGTGTTAGTTTGCTGTCTCATAATTTTTACCAAACATATACTTTTCTTTCTTTTTTTTTTTAGAATTGCTATTTTGTAGCCATTTGTCTCCCATCACCTAAATTTTTAGGATACTTTGAAAATAAAGAAAGAGAATTTTTTGTAAGATTTTGATATCTTGCAGTATGTATGGGATGCTCTAAAGTATTTTTGTGCTGCTAACCTTTGTCATTTCTTCTTCCTCTTCTTTGTCTACCAGTCCATCTTGTTGTCCATATACCAGTAATGTTGGAACATTAATCCAGCTATGGTATAAATCATCTCCATCAGGCCAGTGTTGTCCATTCATTACATAACTAAGGACATAGGTTGGCACATCAAATGCTTTCTCTCGGTCAGATGATTTCTTGAACCTTGGATGAAATGCACCTCTGCAAAGAAAAACTAATTAACTAGCTGGTCTACCTCATTACAGTTCTCTTGAAAACAATTAAGGGTTCCTTAGAAATGCATGTAGTCCCAATATTTAACGAATATGTACAATAACTGACAAATGTGTGAGCTGTTCGGTGTGAGCCAAGGCTCCGTCTTGAAGGACGTACTTTGACCTATAATTGTTTACTTTTTACACATTGTGACTTGGATGGAGAGTTGTCTCATTGGCACTAGCTCATATCAAATTGTTGTTGAAATCCTGACATAAAAAGATGTTTTCTCAAAATTTGTGATTTTTAACAAAAAGTAAGATTTTACCACATATTATTTTTGGCACCTGCAAACAATTTGGAATATCAGCCTACACATGTATATATCAATTCATGATCAAATTCTTCCTTGGAGAAATATTGCAGTTATAATTTATTTTATCTCTGGGTTTTTTTACCTCTGAAATCCCCTATTTAGGCAGGGTCTACAACAGGCAAGTAGGCATAAAGGCAATGAGAAGACACCAGGCTGAGGAGCTAATGGAGTTGGCCCTCCACCACTTACAAGAACTAACTTGGATACCCATTTCCTTCTTTCTCTTGCAATGACTGATGCAAATGCACAACTACAATAAATTAAATGCACATTATCATATAGGTATCAACAAAAAAATATATACAAGCTTTGTACAACAAGTATCAACATTTACAAGAAACTACGATTATTTCTGACAGTTGACTATATATATGTACAAGCAATTTAATGAAGAAGAAAAAAATTCATATATATCTGTCATTGAAATCTGCAATGTTAGCTTAGTTATCAGGTTACCATGGTTACTGCAATTACTATAATGTTGTAAACATTACTAAAACATTGACAAATCATTAGGAATGTCATTTGTCAAATGTTAGTACTCAAGTACTTAAATAGCCAACCAAACAACACTCAAATAACTAATCATGTACATGTAGTCAGTTAGAATTAATTATGTTAAGAGTACATAAACTAGCATACATGGCATATGCCTTGCTAAAACATGCATACGGCATCTCAAAGGCAGCAATTGTTACTGTTTTAGTAAAATCTAAGAACAATTTATTAACATTTTGTACAGGCCAAAGAATAACAATTTTATTATCATAACTTAAGTATACATCAAATGTTGGTTCATGTTTTGATTACAAATTTTTACAAAATATATATAACTTCTTTCAATTAATAAAGGCTACATGTGATATATTGACTAACTCATTCAGCATTATAGATGTAAAAGTAAAAAATTTTCATTACAAATGGTTCTTTTGACATTTCCTGATTAAAAATACTGGAGATTTTAGGAAACATGATAGGATTCAAGTGCTTAATGAAGGAAGATATTTTTTGGGGTTTTTTTTTTTTTTTATGAAGAAGATTTTTTTGCTTCTCACACAAATGTATATTTCAAGGGCATGTTTGCTCAGTCTTAGTTTGAATCCCTGCCTGATCATACCTTATCATTATTTTTACAATGTTTTCTAAATTATGTGATGCTCTCATATTAATTTTTTTCACAAGAGTGATCAAATTGTTGGTAGCTGTACTGTTCATGTTAAATTTTACAACTAAGTTTCCATAATATTGACAAACTAAACTTTATCATCATAACCTACATGACCTACAGGCCATTGGTTTTCTTGTTTTAATTGTTTCACATTTTTCATGTTGGGGCCTTTCAAAGTTGACTATACAGTATGGGTTTTTCTCTTTGTTGAAGGCCATACTGTTTCCTATAACAGTATAAATGCTTACATCCACTTTATTTGACTCTGGTAGATAGTTGTCTTATTTGCAATCATACCACATCTCCTTATTTTTATACATGTACATGTAACATGTGTAATATACAGAATATATATAACTTCTTTCAATTATTGAAGATACCCACCCGTATGAATGTGCAACAACTACATTCCTCCTTTTACAGAATTTATCAAAGATTTCAGTTATGTCGATGAGAATCTGATCAAATGTATAAGCAGACTTTTTATCAGGAGCATCACTAAGACCATGACCTATTAAATCAAGAGATATTATTTCACAGTTCAACTTTTCAAAATAATTGAGCTGTGCGTTCCATATATCTGATGACCCACCAACTCCATGTATGAAAAATATCACTAATTCTTTGTCTTTTACTGGTTTAGCAACATTATAATTTATATGCTCCTCATGAGTTCTTGAAACATTTGATTTTCTTGGAGACATAAAGGATTTTGGAATATTAGCAGTAGATTTGTCTTTATGAACATTATGACTACTTTGACGACGAGGGCTATAAAGTGACAGTGGTAATCCATTATGCATAGCTATACTATGGCTTGACCTTGAACTTAATGGTTCCTCAGTTTCAGCAATCACACTATGTGCTGTTGATGGTTTCTCCAGTTTTTGTTTGTTTGTATCCATGGAAACATGAATACCTGAAGAAGACATTACACTTCTCTCTCCATGAGATAAAACTGATGCACGTGACTCACTATGGAGATCTGAAGTTTCTTTATTACTTAATGGTCTCTTTCCAGGTGTCAGTTCTTCAGCATTTACATTGACATTATTCACAGATAATTCATTTGATATACAGGTACCATTGCTATTATTATTAGAATGTGTTGTCATGTTTGGTAACTGTTCAGTATGATGATTTGTTTCAGACCTTCTACTGTTCATATCTTTTGACAATTCAATATTCCTATTAGCATTTAATCTTGGCACAGTTACAACTCTTGGAGTTGTTAATGCAATTTTTAAATTATCAAGGTATACTTTCAATTCTGTCTGAAAAACTTCTTCCCTAGGTCTTGGATTGACATGTTTTATTCGTATGTGTCTATGAGGTCTGACTTCTATAAGTTCTGATAAACCCTCCTCTGTAGGAGCGACTCTCATTCTTCTTTTTCTGGTGCAACAACATCCATCAGACTTCTCTGCCATCTTTCTACAATAACAGCAAAAATTTTATTAACCATGTTAACAAGGAAAACAATAAAAGAATATCAATGTAAAGTCAATAAACTTTGATCAGGTTTTGTGGACTTTTTCCCCTTCTCTCCTGCGATAGAGGTTATCCAAGTTTACTCAGCATCTGTGTGACGCAACCCTGTTGGATTTATAGTCCCCATTAATAAATTTAATCGCTTTACGTTGAGCCTTTTCTATGTTATCAACAGCTGATTGTATGGATCCCATATGATGACACAGTATTCAAGTGTTGATCTAACCAGTGAAATAAAAGCTGTTCTACACCCTTAAGGCTGGGTTTGCAAGGATAAAACCCAGTATATATGTTTTTTTACACAATTATTTTTATGGTTTGTCCATTTTAATTTAGGTTGCTAGATATATAGACTGAGGAAGGGGTTGTTTTCCACTTCTTTGAGAACAGTTTTGTTATGCTCATAGAAGTAAGTTGTTTTCTTTACACTGATGATTTAACACTTGGTCACATTAAAACACATTCCCATGCTGTTGCCCAGTTTTCACATTTGTATAGATCATTTTGAGTTATGAGATCTTGGTTGTTTCATATTTGACAGTATACATGTAAGATGCAGTTGTCAGCATTTAAGTGAACTTGAGATGATACTGCCTCTGGTAAGTTATCAATGTGGTATTAAAATAAGATTGGGCCATGGACAGTACCTTATTTAATTGCAAATTCTAGAAAAAAAAATAGTTCATCTTCAACACAATTGATGATCTGTTTGAGGCAAAAAAAAATATGTCTATTAAGGTTACATATAAAATCCTTTAAAAAAATAGAGTAGGTAGGTAGGTAGTTCCATTTTTTTGTGAGATGTTAGCTGTGTGATGTTTGTACACGTTGTAAAAATACTATGCAACTACAAATGTATATTAACTTTTTTACTGATATCCAACTATTGGTTGGTCTATGAACAATCCATATAAACTAGAAGACCCATCAGCAGATGAAAGATGATAATACCTGCACTTCTACATACATGTATGGACATACTGGTAAAAGTTTTAGGGTTTGTACCAAATCCATGTATTAAAGACTGCTTCTTTCACTGTTGCAAAATTGATCATGCAATACATGTATATAAACTTTCAAAATAAATTAATTTAGTATTTTTTTTTAATCTATTATACATAATCTTCCCAGGAACATTGCTAACAAGTTTGGTTCAGATTTGGTTCTGTGGTCTTTTAGAAGAAAGGAAGAGTAGACAACCTGAGCGTTGTTCAAATACATGTAGAAGGACAATCAAAGCACAAAAGGCAATGACAAGCAATAGACAGTCAACACTGAAAACTAAAACAAATGAGAAATATGAACCCTGAAAAAAACAAAGCAACCTCAGGTGCTTCAGAAGGGTAATCAGGCCCTGCTTCTTGCAAGACACTCATATGTGAAATGTGGAAAGTTGATGGAAGGAAGGACAGACAACAAATGTTTACACAGGACCCCAGATAGCTTCAACTATTTTTTGACGCCATTAAAAGTTGTGTAAATTCAGAACTTATCTGGATTGGAATAAACATGATAAGGTGTATTGACAGTGTAATGTTCCATTGCCATTGGGAATAATATTCAAGAATATTTCTTCAATTTGGAATTTATATTATGAAGGAACTTCTATTTCATGATAACTTTGGCTTTCCAACTATTTAATTCGAACGCCACTGATGAGTCTTATATAGACAAAACGCGCGTCTGGCGTACAAATTTGTTAGCATGGAAAATCGCAATTTGCCAGTATATTCAGAAAGTTGAATGTGGGCAGTATATGGAAGAAGAAGAAGAAGAAGAATTGGATGAATTTTTTCTACACTGTTCTAAAATTATGTTTCTCAATTCAAAAACAGTAGTAAACACAATAAATGAAAACAAATTAAGAGATATGCTTTAGTTTGAAAAAAAACCAAACAACTTCAATTTGGTGATTATGGATAAGAAGGAGGGGGCAAGATTGTTAAATACATCTAAATATTCCCTCGGTCACAATAAAAAATTGTTTACTTTTTTCCAGGAGACAGCCTGACAACAGTTTCCCGGTTTTATGAAAACGCGTAATAAAATAGTTTAAAGTTTTTCGAACTAGTTGGGAGACTTGTATTTGATTAAGTTGGATTCATTGGAATAATTCATTTCTTAATTGTTATGGATAAATTAATGTTTGAGCTCGTAATTCCGAATATTTTATGATTGCAGTTTAAATTTCGAAAATGAAAGTAGCGGAATAATACCACCGGAAGTGGAGCTAGCAGAAAGCACTTGCATTTCTTCAACATGTTCTCAAGATTTATACCTAAACTTTCAAGGTGATCATGTTAGAATTTACTTAGGGTAACTCATAAGTAAATCAATAGAAAAAATATGAAATTTACATTATTCGCAAATTTCTTAGAGAAATTGCAACTAATAAAGACTTCTATAAATATTCTTTTTACCCATTCATTCAAAGTTTCATTTAAAGTCGATATTCAATAAACTACAATTTAATTCTTTGTTATCTGTTATTCTGAAATTGTATTTGCTGTTAGCTGTTATTGTAATATTCCTTGTTAGCTGTTATAGGACTATTATCTTTTTTGCTATCTGTTATTGTGAGAATGTATTTGCTGTTAACTGTTATTGAAAATTGGAATGTTAGCTTTTTGACAGCCAATCTTCAGTAGAAAATGAAAATCATTGTATATTGGGGTCTTACAACTGGTAATATGGTGGTCCCTTATTCTTAGAAGCATTCCAATAATGTACACATCACAGACCATCACTTAAACATATTAAAATCAGTCGTGTCCAGGACTATTCCAGTATATCTTATTATAATCCTTTGTGATAAATTCATTTTCTTTAACTCAATGTATGATGATAATTTTATGCTATGGAATACTGTTTTCAGCAATTATTGGGGAACATTTGAAAAAAACTCATACAGCGTGCTTGTAATTTGAATAGTGTGCATATTCTTAAAAAAGAATCACAGAGCTGAGTCTGTGTTCTTTATTACATAAAAGGTGTTTCGGTTAAGTTCGTATGGACCTAGGCCTATCCTCATCAGGTATCCCTGTTTTCCTTTTTGTAATATTAAGAATTGTTCGAATTTGATTTTTGTCGAGCCTGCTACTTTTGTCGCGAAAGCGAGACATAGCGATCCTACATTCCAACGGCTGCGGTGTCCACAAATATCCACTCTGTGGTTAAAGTTTTTGAAATTTTAATAACTTTCTTAAACTATCCTGGATTTCTACCAAACTTGGACAGAAGCTTGTTTATGATCATAAGATAGTATCTAGAAGGACATTTTGTAAAAAAAATCTTGTTTATCCGTATTTTACTTATGAAAATGACATATTTTTCTGCCAGTTAACATTACATTCACAGTGACACTCTGTGGTTAAAGTTTAAATATTTTAATAACTTGGACAGAAGCTTGTTTATAATCATAAGATACAATGTAGTATCCAGAAGTAAAATTTTGTGAAAAAAAATCCTGTTTATCCGTATTTTACTTATAAATGGACTTAGTTTTTCTGCCAGTTAACATTACATTCACTCTGTCGGTTAAAGTTTTAAATATTTTAATAACTTGGACAGAAGCTTGTTTATAATCATAAGATACAATGTAGTATCCAGAAGTAAAATTTTGTGAAAAAAAATCCTGTTTTTCCGTATTTTACTTATAAATGGACTTAGTTTTTCTGCCAGTTAACATTACATTCACTCTGTCGGTTAAAGTTTTAAATATGTTAATAACTTGGACAGAAGCTTGTTTATAATCATAAGATACAATGTAGTATCCAGAAGTAAAATTTTGTGAAAAAAAATCCTGTTTATCCGTATTTTACTTATAAATGGACTTAGTTTTTCTGCCAGTTAACATTACATTCACTCTGTCGGTTAAAGTTTTAAATATTTTAATAACTTGGACAGAAGCTTGTTTATAATCATAAGATAGTATCCAGAAGTAAAATTTTGTGAAAAAAAATCCTGTTTATCCGTATTTTACTTATAAATGGACTTAGTTTTTCTGCCAGTTTACATTACATTCACTCTGTGCTTAAATTTTTCATAATTTTTTTCCCCATTTTCGTTGAGCCCGCTGCGACTAATAGCAAAAGTAGGCGAGACACTGGGTTCCCTTACGAATTTTTACATATGTCATGTATATGGGGATAATATTCCCTGTATCCCAATACATAAATATTAGATTCAAACAATTCTTATTCACTGTTATCTGTTTTTATGCCCTTTCAATTCCTTGTTATCTGTTTTAAGCCAAATCAATTTGCTGTTTTGCTGTTATTGGATCCCCCCTTGCCCCCCCCCCCCCCCCCCTAACATAAACACAAGCTCTAGCATGTCTAGTGAGCTTTTCAAATCAACTGAACAACAAAATATATACATGTACACGCATTCAAAAGTCATGAAAACAACACAATTTTAAAACATACAGTGCATGGTAAGATACCATAGATGACATATAAAAGTTTAAAAGCATAGTATGCAAAATAAAGGATATCTTAAAACATATAAACACAAGTTAGAATAATAAGCACGGCAGATAATAACAACTAAAAAAGCTAAACAAATCATACAGTCAAACAAAATGAAAAATAAAAAAGCATATCATAAAAGCACAATATGCATGCACTGCACTGGCATGAGCTGTTATTTGGATCCCATGTTTGTACCAATTTAATTGGTCAAAAGATGTGTCCATTCGACAATGGTTAGGCAGCTCATTCCATATTTGTGCAGCATTATTGCAAAACCATCTCAAACCATACCTGGTAGTTCTGACTCTCAGGAGTACTGCTGTTTCCTGTGATAAAAAATTATACTATTGAATTTTAATATCTACTAAAATCATGAAGATAACTTGTACTTTTTTTGTGAATTATTTTAAATGTTTCTGTTGCAATAGTTTTTATTCTTCTTGTTTTTAAAGAAGGTAATTTTGACTTTTCTAGTAGTTTTTCATAGATGAAGCTAAGACATTTGTAAGAGCTCTTTCTTGAATTTTTTTCCATTTTCAAAGAATTTTTTTTCTCGCTACAGTAGTGCCAAATTTCTGGACAATAGTTAAAATTAGAAAGAATGAATGAAAAGTATGCTGTTAACCTACCTAGCCTGTTTAAATATTTACCCATTCATATTAGAATATTTAATTGTCTTGATGCCTTTTTACATATTTCAGATATATGATTGTTAAAGTTTAAGCCCAAATCTATAGTTATTCCAAGAAGTTTAACATTTTCTTCACACAAAATTTTGTTTCCATTTAAATTGAATGTCAAATTATGTTTGTTTTTTTCCAATAGCTATAGTCTGGAATTTGTCAGGATTAGCCCTCATTAAATTTATCGAAAACCAGTTTATTAGGTTTAAACTGTCAGTTTCTAAACTTAACAACTTTATCTATATCATTATCACTATATGATACAGTATTATCATCTGACAGCATAATTATAAATGGTGCTATTTTGTACAAAATGAAATATGTCATTTATGAAGACATTGAAAAGAACTGGACCAAGAATTGACATTTGTGGTATATCTTTAAACATATGATCCCATTCACTGCAAGAACTTCCAATTTTAATACGTTGTTTTCTGTTTTCTAAATAACTTTGTAGAGAATTTTTTGACAGACCATATGCTTCCAATTTTAGTTAAAGTAAATCATGCGGTATACAATCAAATGCTTTAAATAGATCCATCAGAATTGCAGCATTAAATTTGTTGTTGTCCAGAGCTCTTTCCCAGTCTTGTATTATCTTAATAAGTGCTGTTTGGCAACCAAAACCTGACCTGAATGCCGAAAGTAGATGATGAAAATGTTTATTTAAAAATTCCATTAATTGATTATGTATAGCTCTTTCATAAATTTTGGAGATACAAGGTAACACACTTACAGATCTATAGTTTTCTTTATCTAGAGAGTTATTCTTTTTAAACAGTGGGGATACCTGAACAGCTTTAAGATATCTGGAAAAATTGAACTTTGTCTTTCAATTGATTTATTAACTCAAATTTTAATAGGATAAGATATTACTGGTTGTGCCATTTTTATAATTTTTGGGGAAATATTGTTATATCCAGTAGCTTTTCTTATATTTAATCTATTTATTTGTTTACCTTACAAACTCTTCTGTTACAGGTTTAAAATTCAATTCATTATTATCAGTTTTATTTTCTTCGATTTTTATTACACTTGGGTGGTTTCTGTCTATCTTTATAATGATTTTGTCTTCTATATATTTAGCTACACTTATGAAAAATTTATTGAAAAATTCTGATACCTCTTTAGGATCACTGAGATTTTATCATTTTCATATAAAATGATGCTATTGTTTGATTAAATGCTTTTATTAGATAAAAATGGTTTAATAGTGGAATAAAAAGTTGTTGATTTTGGACCACCAGCAGTTCTTTCATAAAAATATGTTTTGATTGTCAGAGCTCTTTTAACCTTTTGTAACAATATTTCTCTGTCTTCTGTACAACTCCCAGTTGGTATCATAATCACTTTTGTTTTGAAGAAACCTGTTATGGTACAATTTTTTTTTGTAAATTGCTCTTCTAAGATCTTTATTCATATAGGGTGCAGGTGATACTTTTGACCTTCTTTTTTTCATTGGTATATGCTTGTCAATTATGTTAACAAATTCAGATTGAAAATTTGAATATGCTTCATTGACGTCATCAACTGACAACAAATTATCAAAATTTACACAATTTAGTTCATGTATTGTAGGAATTTTTCCTGATCAAAACTTTTAAAACTTCTGTATTGAATAAATTCCTTTTTAATTTTAGGCACAAAACCTTTAAATTGAAATGAAATTATGTTGTGACAATCATTGAGACCACTATTAAAATAGATATATTTGACAAAAATTTGGTTTGTTTGTCAGGATAACATCACATCAAGTAAAGTTGGTAATGCATTTTTTGTAAAACATGTAGCATTTTTTACTATGTTTGTAAAATCGAAAACATCACACATATTAATTAGAGGTATACACTTCTCTTCTTGTAAACAATT